TTAAAAAGAAGAAGAAACACTCCAAGAGTAATTGCAGATGGGTGTCTTAACCCAACGTCTACCCTGTCTTTCAGAAGACTTTCTGTGTCCTGTTCAGAACCCCTGGAAGACTTTCTAAACCCAGTTCCCTCCCACAGCTGCACCGTGGAGTCTGACAACTCAGAAACTCCAGCCATTCCTTACCCAATGGGCTGGAAGCAGAGCAGCATGCATTTGGCAGGAACCCAGAACCCGTGTCCCCAGAGGCTCTCATGAGAAAGGTCCTAACAGAGGACACACACAAGACCCATTTTGTTGCTGGCCCCCCTGGTGAAGCAGAGGATGTGAAAAACACGTTCCCTCTGCAGACTTGTGAAGGGGGTAGTCCTCTCTCACTTCTCTCAAGAGAGGCTCTGCTACCATCACCTTCCATGGTGTCCAAAAGATCTTGATCTATGCACCTGACTTCTGTAAGATGGTAGAAAAGAACCTACCTCAACCTGAGCAAAGAAGAAAAATCTGTTTTGAAACGAGGCAGGAGAGAAGCAGATGTCACTAATACCCATCACAGTAAATGTAGCCCAAGAAAAACGCTCCCCTCCATACTAAATGTGATCAACCTGAAATGTTGGCTAACATTTCCCCCTGGCTTCTTTGCTGAATATAAATGCTCTCTGCCTTTGCTTGAGACGATGAGATTGTTTAAAAACAAAAAAAAAATCCACAAACAGAACAAAATGAGGATCATGGACACTTTCCTTTATTCTCCAACTTTCCTTCTTTTACAGAAAACTGGAAAGAAAGAAAAAAATACCCAACAAGCAAACAAACCTCAACCGTGATGCAAGAGCCTGTGACGGTTGCCACTTTGTAGATCCACTGGTTTAAAAAAAAAAAAAAAAAGCACCCACATGCTCACGGACAAAAGTCGCAAGGATTATGAAATGCAGAGGAGCTCATGATGATTGTGGGGAGCCGAGTGAAAGTCCAGGTTTGAAGAGTTAAAATACGAGCATAGCTCATGAAGACTCCGACTGCAGACCGCTGCCCTCATTGTCTTCCTGCCCCTTTGGATGGAATCTCCGAGAGCACTCCGCCTGGGGGGAGAAAGTCGACTTAGTAGAGTGGGAAAAGTGCCAAACATCCACAGCAACTTCGGTTTTTTCCACTTTCTTTACATGTTCAGTGGAGACTTTCATAAAATTACAAATGAAAGGACACATTATGAGCACTTTTCTTTGAAGAGGAAGGGGAGTTGGGGGCGGGGAGGTAGTGCCTGGAAGTAAAATGTTGGAGTCTGTAGCCTTCCCCATAGAACACTGGGGAGCTTTCTATGCCAACAGCAGGACCCACCCGCCCCCAACAACAACAACAAAAGCCCAGTTCTACCTTCAGATTTCCCAGAGGTGGAGCCATGGTCACTGCCCTGACTGTGGATAAGACGTTGATCCATAGGTAGGGAGTGGGAACGTAAGGGGTTCCTGGTCCCAGTCCCTGCCTGGGTCCACATCCCTGTGTCTTGGCTCTCTCTCTCTCTCTCTCTCTCTCCTCTATCTGTCACTTGAAAGCTCACTTCTGTTTCTTCGTGTTGAAAAGCATAGAAAAAAGCTCTTGAGGTTTCCTGGACACCCTGTGCCTCTTACAGAACAGTATTTTAATGAGGTACACGTCAATGAATCAGAAACCCAAGTATTAAATTTCCCTTGACAAACACATCAGTTTAAAGAACATTAACAGAAAAGGAGCCCATTAACAGAAAAGGAGCCCAGGGCTCGAAACACTTGAACATGGACTAGAAATCCACTGGGATCCACGAAGTTTGCTACCTCCACCTTCCCTGAGCACATCTGTTATCAGGAAGGCAGCAATATTTGAGGACAGTGACCATCCAGCTAGGGACAAGTCTCCTTGTTGCCTGTTCAGCTCAGGTTCTCAAAAGAAACCAAAAGCTACCTATGGCTGTGCAGACAGCCAGCCATGCTGTTAGCTGGAAGCTGACCCTAAAAATCTGACTTTTTTTTTAAGTCAAAGAAAACTAAATAAACAATCATGGAAGATCATAAATCACTGACAAAGATATTTATATTTGAAATGGCCCTCTGAAAACACAATGTGCCGCAGTTTGTCCCTCAAAGATGGACTCAGTTCTGGATCCTATATTTGTGGATCCCAATGCTTTTCTGAGAGCCAATAGAACGTGGTTTTGTTTTGTTTTGAGTGCTGATTCAGGATCTAAGGAAACACCCCTGGGGACAGAAGCAACCCCAAATCCTACAACCGGACTTGGTTTCCAAAAGCATCAGTTTTCTTTGAGTTGTTTAAATGAGTGTTTCCTCTCCATTTGGTTTTGGGAAAGGGTGGCTATACAGATGAGCAACACAGGAGGAGGACGGAGCCAAGGGAGCAAGATTCCAGGGCCACCCTCATTTGTCCTGTTAGGTAATCTGATCATGGTGGGTGGGGTGTCACAGAGAGAATTCCTGTGAGCAAGAGCACCGTGTGTCCCAGGAAAAGGCCATCACAGGACCGACATCAGAAATGACCGACCCCAGCACATTTTCTCGTATTCCTTTCCCAAGCATACCTGGAGAAAATGCAGAGATAGACGTTCCCACCACAAATGGATCCCCTTTCAGCCTCTACTTGGAAATTCAGGATAGAACTGGGTGGTTATCCTCTTAGTTTTGCTCAGGTAGATGAAATGAGAAGTATGCAGCCACCAGCCTTAGCAGCTGCCTCTATCTACGTGTAAACTCAGAGGCCCATCGTCAAAAAAAAAAGAAAAGGTGAGGCGTGGTGCTGTGGCTTAGTAGGCGAAGCCTCCGTCTGCGGTGCTGGCATCCCACATGGGTGCCAATTCCAGTCCTAGCGGATCCTCTTCCAATTCAGCTCTCTGCCCAAGGCCTGGGAAAGCAGTAGAGGAAGGCCCAAGTGCTTAGGCTCCTGCACCTTCGTGGGAGACCCAGAAGAAGCTCCTGGCTCCTGGCTTTGAATCAGCCCAGCTCTGGCTGTTACAGCCATTTGAGGGATGAACCAGCAGATGGAAGCCCTTTCTCTCTACCTCTCTCTAGCTCTACCACTCAAACAAATAAACAATTAAGAAAAAAGGCCCGTCGTTTATCCCCAGGAAAGCTCTGATGCTTGCCCCCAGCTTTTCTTCCACGCCTTTGCATGCTATGCTCAGGAGTGTGACCTCATTTCAACAGGAATTAAGACCTGCCCCTCATGGGACAAGGGTTGTAGCAGAGCAGATTAAGCCACTAGTTAGAGTGCCTGGGACCAAGTCCCACCTCTACTTCCAATCCAGCTTCATGCTGGTGCATACCCCGGGAGTGACTCAGATTGAGTTCTGTGTTCCTGGCTTCAGCCTGGCCCAGTCCTGTCTCTTGCAGGCATTTGAGGAGTGACCCAGGGGATGGAAGGTCTCATTCATTCTCTCTCTCTCTCTCTTCCTCCTTCACCCTCTCTCTCTCCTTCTGCCTTTCAAATAAACAAAATATACTTTAAAAAAAAACCCTCTGTAGCAGGGATTCCACGTAGTAAAACTAACCACGTGGAAATTGTTGGTTCCTCCCAGTTACCCAGGCTTCCCCTGTTCTAATTGTAATTTGTTTGCATATTTACTCAGAAGAAAGGCCACAGACATGAGATCTAGATACTCATACGGGGTTTGACTGACACCTTTTGGGACTGTAAATTCCCCCCCAACACACACACACACGCACGCGCACATGCACACGCACACACACACCAGGCCAGGAGCTGATGTCATATTGCTAGGGACTCGATCCGCCTTTCCTTTGATATAGAACCTGCGCCTCCAGTCAGCTCTCAGTGCTAAAGAAAACAGCCTTTTCAGAATCTGATTTGCCCCCTGCCCTGGCTGCTGCTAATGCGCAACACACCACGGCCACACTACTGCAGCCAGGGTCGCAGGGGGGAGTGGGGGGCAGCTGGCAGGGGTTCTTTCTTCTTGGGGTTTGATACATCCTTCCTTCCGCTACTCCTTGCAATCAACCACTAGGGGAAGGAGGGAAGCAGGCAGGAGGGAGTGCGGGAGACTTCCGGAAACCTCTTTCCTCCCTTGTCTTCCCAGGTTGCCCCATAATGACCCTGGACGCGTCCACCTGCCCCCGCTGGAGGAATTGGTTACTCTCCCGGAGCCCTCCCGGGCATCAGGCCCTGCTCACTTCCCCCTCTTCCTGCTCGCAATCTCCAGCCCTCCAGCCTCCCGTGGCGTCACAGCTCAGAAAGAATGAGGTGGAGGTGGGCTGGTGAGCGTCCCAGCTTCCCTGGACAAAGCCCACCGCCCCGGGTGCACAATCACACAAATGGCTTTCCTGGAAACTTGGGAATCTTGACGCGTGAGGATGGCATCAAAGACAAGCTATGGCACGTTCTCCTTTCTGCCGATAAATACTATTCAGGGGTGCTGGAGGAAAAGCCCTTCTGTATTTTCAAACTTGCTTAGAATCGGTTTGTTTTCAGTACACTCGTTCTCTGCCTGCTCCTAAGGTCAAGCAGCAATGTGAACCCCAAACCTGGGGCTTCTGCTGTTTAAAGGGGGAGTCCCTCACTCGCCCACCCATCTGGAACTACACCGCGGTTTATTCTGTCAGCATTAAGCGAGACAGGTCGTTTACCCTTTACCAACCTCTGCAGACTGAAAGCAAATGGCAGTCAATCTCGAGTTCCTAAGCCAACATGTACACCTCTACTCTGAAGCCTATGGCCGGGTGAGACCCCAAGCGAGAGCCTTAGTGCTTAGAAGAAGTTTTATTTGTCTCTTCCTTTTTGATTCCTTTATTGGGAGGACCTTTATGGCTGGGAGACAGGTGCATATCCACAGTAGTGGGGCGAGGGATGTCATATATTAGAGTACTTACGGTACTTGAGATTTTCGTGGCATCAGCCCCTTCACTGCCAATTAATTTTGCTGTGTTTCAGGGTCACAGATCATACCCCTAATCCTGGCCAGTTATCTCTCGAATGTGTGTCATGAGGATCCTGAGACAAGAACGTATAGAAGGCTCATCACAACTATTGCCTCTATTGGAGTAAACCAACTCAGAAAAAGCCCCTGTGAGGAGCAGAACCCAATCAGAGGCAGGCATAATTTCACTCATGAAATTAGTGTGGGTCTCTCAGCCAGGGGCTAATCTAAGCCAGACCTCAAAGACCATCAGGCTGTGAGTGCATCACAAGTACAATCAAAACAACAAGAGAAAAATCAGTCTGGATTCACAAATGTTTAATTTTAACGTGGCAGGTACTCAGTAACCACGCCAGGTGCTCAGGCATCTGGAACAAGCAAGTAAGGCAATTTAGATCAATAATCCTTGCAAAGCTGAAGAATTTTCTTAGCTTTTTTTTCAGATTTATTTATATATTTGAAAGAGTTGCAGAGAGAAAGAGGGAGAGACAGAGAGAGAGAGAGAGAGAGAGAGATCTTCCATCTGTTGGTTCACTCCACAAATGGCCACAACAGCTGGGGCTGGGCCAGGACAAAACCTGGAGTCTGGAGCTTCATCCAGGTCTCCCACGTGGGTGCGGGGGGCACCCAAGGACTTGGGCCAAAGGATTTCCAATGTGTCTATAAGGCTGAGCATTTGACATGCTCCCCTTCACCTCCCCATTGTCAGCCACATCCCTCCCAAATCTGCTGCTACGTGTTGGCGCTACCCAAGATCTTGTCTTGCAGAGTCACACGGGTCCAAAGCTCCATTCGGACCCTCTGAGTGACCACCCTCGCCTGACCGACCCGGTCCCCCAGGTCTCTGTAACAGCCACAGTGCTGGACCCTCTGAGTTCTATTGCCTCTCTTTCGACTTCTGCGTGGTGTCCCTCAGGACCCACGCCTCCAGACCACACTCTAACCCAGAACTTCAAACTCTCTTCAATGTGAAGGCAGAGAGCAACTTCATGAGGCCAGAATAAATGTGCTTTCTCAGTGGTGGGGTCTGGAGTGATGTTTCCTTCTCTAATGAGCATGGATTGATTTCACAATCAAAACGTGTGGTTGTGTGTATGTGCGTGTGCATACATGTGTGCGTGTGTGTGCGTGTGTTTAGTTCAGGTTCAAAATCTAATATACAAACACACCAAAGTGTGCTTCTCCTGACTTTTTTAAGTGTTTTTACCGCCCACAACCCTGGATTCACCAACGCCAGTTGCCTTGGAATTGGCCCCTGGTTTTCTTTAAGTCAACACAGACATCACAGCCTCATTGTGGTTCTATAGGTGAACTCCTAGGACAGTGTTGCCAAGAATTCATTTCCATGGGTGGATCAAAGGACTTCTTTGTCACGGTTTTCTTTTTGTCTAGAGACTGTGACCTTCGGAAAAATTCAGCCTTTGCCTGCACAGGACACGCTTACCCCTCCAGCCATAGTGCGATGACTTTTGAGAGATTTAGCCTCCACTTTTCACATTTCAGAGTAAGAAGGCCATCAGCAAAACCATGGACAACTTTTGATCCTACAGAGAAACTCATTGTAATGGGATGTTTTTTTCCTGTGTTAATATAATGATTTAATAAAGATACTTGGCACACAAATGAGACTATTAGACCAAGCATTTTTAACAATGAGTGGATTGAGATCAGCCTATAGGGTCCATTACTAGAAGTGTCTTTCTTAGCTTTTTGAGAACTCTTTCATCTATTTAGAGGCAAATTTGTTATTCTGAACCAAAAACCCTCCTGAAATAGGTGCTGAGAAAAATGTCCTGCCCCTGTTCTGAGACGTTCCAAACAAGCGTTAAGTTGCTGAGAAACAAAAGGCAAAAAGAAGGAAAAAGAAAGGGCCACGTCTCCAGATAACGAGGTTCTGCCTTGGTGTTTTATCTGTGAAACAGCACGGCTTGAAAGGTCTGGATCCCATTTCATTTGAACGGAGCATAAATGTAGTGCCTGGAACCTTCCCAAATGAATAAATTCTTTGCCGATAATTTTTAAGTGAGGAAAGATCAACAGGATAGGGGCGTGAGGGGGATTACAGGCTGCAGGGTATGTGTGTGTGTGTGCATGTCTGCATGTACATGTGTGTACATACGTGCACAGCACGTGTGTACATATGTGCACACACATGCACTCAGCAGGACAACTGGGAGACTCTGCACACAATTCTTTCTTTTCCTTTTCTTTTGGATGAGCCATGCTGATTTCGTTCTTGAAAATCCCCAGTAGATTTCCCCCGAAACATCCTGGGGACTGTTAGCTCTTATACATCCCTCTGAGCCTCCCATCCCATCCCTGGACAGACATTCCCAGGACAGCAACAGGACAAACCTTCCCTCCTCTCTCTCTCTCTGGGATCCTGCACTGGTTCCTCATCTTTCTCTGCTTCTACAGGTTGTTTTTCTCCCCTGAGGGGTGGGAGAAATGATGCCAATGCATAGCCTGGCTTTAAAAATATGCACCACGGATCATTTGTGCTTCGCTTTCCTCTGTTTTTGAGGCTTTGCTGAGCTAAGTCTACAACTTCTGGAGTGATGGAGGGGACAGAAAAGCTGCAGGACACTCACTCTCAGAACCCAGGTCACTGAGGGAGGAATCGCAGAATTTGCACACATATATGCAATGAACACAAGTCCCTTTCGGGCTTAATGTTCTCATTTAGCTCTTTTGTTTAAAAAAAAAAAAAACACAGACAAGGAAGAAGATTTGGGGGTCATTGATTCTCCTTTGTTTTGACCACTGGAAGAAAAGTTAGAGAAAAAGAAACAAAATTAACAAAGAGGGAACCCACGTCTCTCCTCCTTCCTCCTCCTGTCCCCATCCACCGGCCAAATCTAATAAAGATGATTAAATTACATGTCTTTTCCTCCCATTGAAATCCACTGCATACTATTCAAATACTGGAGCTCAGGAAATAAGACAGGACAAGGTCCCTCGTGAAACCCTAGAAGGCAGCACAGGGGGCTGAGCTACAGGTCTGCCTGGCTGGGCTACTCTCATTAAGAAATCGCCCTGCTGAGCAGAACTTAATCTAAATAAAATATAAAAGGGAATCCAGTGAAAACCATTACCTCCCTGCCCCACTTCCCCACACACCTAAAGTCCAGAGCCTCCTTTTCCCAGTCCCAGGATCTGGCTTGCCCACTGCTGGGGGATCTGTGTTGTTTTCTGCTCCACAGTACATCAAGTACAAAGACAGGGGTCTCAAGGAGGGCGCTGGGTTGTGTGCCGGCCTCTGGCTGTTTGGCCAGACTCAGTCAATGCTGTGTCTTAGTTGGAAGGGGATAAGGAATGGGATTTGATCAAGGACTGATTAGAGACTTGGTCATCTGGCCAAGAGTTCCAGCCTTCACAAGATGAATTGCCAGCCCACCACCTCTCTGGATTTGACTGCTTTCTGCTCCTTTTTTCTTTTAATATCTATTTATTTATTTGAAAGGCAGTGACAGAGAGAGAGAGAAGATAAATTTTCCATTCACAGGCTCATTCTCCAGATGACCACAGCAGCCAGGGCTGAGCCAGGCTAAAGCCAGGAGCCCAGAGCTCCATCCAGGTCTCCCACGTGGGTGGCAGGGTCCCAATCATACGGACCATACTCGAATGCCTTCCCAAGTGCATTAGCAGGGAGCTGGATGGGAGCTGGAACTTGAACCAGTCAGTATGGGATGCAGGCGTCGCAGACGGCAGCTTCACCCGCCCTGGCTGAGTTCCTCTTACCTGTTATTCATGAGATGCCTCTGATGGAGAGTCTGCTGGAGAGTAAAGACCAAGTCTGCTTAACTGGATTCTGTGCAGTATCCTTGTGCTATACGGAGCCAGCCTCGGACCTCCGCTCCATCCAGGTCCTGAGTCATTTTCCTGTGCACCCACAGACATCTGCTTTGTGTTCCCATGGATCTCACTGCTGATCCCTGTAAGTGTGTGACTCTCTGTAGCACCTTTGTGGCTCTTAAGCTGTTGAAAACTATGGAAAGAGATGAATCCTCTCCCTAGGGATACCTATGCATACATAGACACAGGTATAGGGAGACCCTTTCACTCTCAGGAGTTGGCAGGTGCCAATTTAAGGGCCCTTGAAATAGACTTCCTCTCTTTTCTCCTCCCATTCTGGGAAGACTCCTGTGTATCCTCCAGGAACCCTCTGCAAAGCTTGCAAACTCCCATTCTGGGCTCTGCATGTTCCCCGTGTATAAGTCTCATGTGTCACTTATCACAGCGCAACAATCACTTGTTTGTATGTTCATCTTCTTCCAGGCAAAAGTGGGCACACGTTCTCTCAACAGATCAAATAAATAGTTTAGGTTTTGTGGACTACACGATTTCTGCAGCAATCACTCTGTCCTTTTAGCAAAAGCAGCCACACACTGCTCCTTACTCCACGTGGGCTGCCTAGAATTCCACAGACTGATAAGCAACAGTCCACGTCACAACACCAGCAGATTCCATGTCCTGGTTCCGAGATGACTGTCTCTTGCTGTGTCCTCACATGGAGGGACAGAAGCAAGAGCTCCCAGGTTCTCTTTGATAAGAGCACTGATCTCAGTCATGAGGGCTCCATCCTCATCAGCCTCCCAAAGCAGGATCACATTGGGGGTTAGACTTCAACACATAAATCTGGGACGATACAAACACGCAGGCTACAGTAGACAATATGTGAACAGATAGGCATGGCTGTGCTCCAGTAATAGTTTAGATGTTGCAATCTTAATTCTAGATTACTTTCATAGCTCACAAAGTACTCTTCGTTTTTCAAACAGTAAAAGAAATGCAGGTCCAGCATTCGTTGTGGCAAAGCAGGTAATGCCACTACCTGCAACGCCAGCATCCCATACAAGTGACAGTTTGGGTCGTGGTTGCTCCACTTCAAGTCCACCTCCCTGCTAATGGCCTGGGAAAAGAAACAGTATATGGCCCAGGTGTTTGGGCCCCTGACACCCATGTGGGAGACCCAGATGATGCTCCTGACTCCTGACTCCTGACTCCTGGTTTCAGGCTGGCCCAGTGCTAGCCGTTGCAACCATCTGGGGAGTGAACCAGCAGATGGAAGATCTCTCTCTCTCGCTCTCTAACTCTTTCAAAACAAATAAATAAATCTTTTTTAAAAAAGAAAGAAATGTAAAATCATTTTTTATCTCTTGAGAAACACATTGGTGGAGGCAGATTGAAACACCCCACCTGCACCCCATACGACACAGGTGCGGACTCCTGGTCTGTACAGAGGAGAGGGCCTCAAAAGTAAATCTTATCATTTTTGAGTTTCATTGTCTAGTTCCTCAAAGTTAATTCATTTTTGAGTTTTGCTATCTGGCATTACTTGATTCTTAAAATGAGTGACTATGCAAACTACTAATTGAACTTATGACTACAGAAATTTCAGCAAGGCAGAAATAGAATAGAACAATCATAAATGTGACTTTGGAATTCTGTTGAGGCTTCATATTTCATCATGATTCAGGACACAATACGTGAAGTAGTACCTAAGATTGCAATCACAATTCCTGTAGACTTGCAGTTTTTCCAGGGCATAACCAGGTATATAAATCAAGGAGTAGATGCCAAAAATCTCTACACCAGTCAAGTATCAATATAGCCAGAGAATACCTCATTTTAAAAATAAGATTTTGGCTGGCACCGTGGCTCACTAGGCTAATCCTCCACCTGCGGCGCCGGTACCCCAGTTTCTAGTCCCAGTTGGAGCGCCGGATTCTGTCCCAGTTGCTCCTCTTCCAGTCCAGTTCTCTGCTGTAGCCCAAGAAGGCAGTGGAGGATGGCCCAAGTGCTTGGGCCCTACACCAGCATGGGAGACCAGGAGGAAGCACCTGGCTCCTGGCTTCGGATCAGCACAGCACACCAGCCGTAGCGGCCATTTCGGGGGTGAACCAACAGAAGGAAGACCTTTCTCTCTGTCTCTCTCTCTCACTGTCTAACTCTGCCTGTCAAAATAAATAAATTTTAAAAATCTTATTTTTAAGATTTCTTTATCATTCCATGCTTTCACAGAATCACGGCTTCTTCGAGCTGCCCTTGAATGATTCTTTAAACCTTATGTGACACACAGGTTCCAATCTAGCTCCCAGCGAAACTGAATGTGGGCTGGACCTAGTGGTTGGGACAAGGGTTGTAATTTCCAAAATTCACTTTTACAAAGCTGTGTAACTCTGTCTTGTCTGCAGACTCTCGCCATTGCCCTCTCAGCTGGCATGTTTTGATGGAGCCAGAAGTCTTGTTGCAGAGGCCTAGGTGGCAAGGGACTGAGAGTGACCTGCAACCAACAGCTGGTAAGAACTGAGACCCTCAATCCAACAGCCATCACTGAGATAAGTCCCATCAACAATGCCACGGAGGAGCTGCACAGAGAATCCTTTCTCTAGTGTGGCTTCAGATGGAACCACAGACCCTCATTCAACACCTCGATCGCAATCTTGCGAGAGACCTTGAAACACATGGCCCAGTTAAGCCATGGCCGGAATCCTGACACAGAAAGTGGGAGATGGTATATAGGTATCATCTGAGCCGCTAGCTTTTGTTACAGAGCAATCAATAACCTACACACTTATTATCCTGGCAATTCGATGTCTACAAGGATATTTCCAAAAGTTCATGGGAAATAGAGTTAAAAGATAAGTTTCTTGGGGGCAGTGTTGTGGCATAGCAGGCTAAACTACCAATTGCAATGCCTGCATCCTATATGGATGCCAGTTCAACTCCCAGCTGCTCCATGTCTGATCCAACTTCCTGACAATGATCCTGGGAAAGCAGCAGGAGATGGCCCAAGTATGTGAGCCCCTACCACCCACTTGGAATACCCAGATGGAGTTCCAGGCTCCTGGCCTCCATCTGGTACAGCCCTGACTATTACAGCCATTTGGGAAGTAAACCAGCAGATGGAAAATCTCTCTCTCTCCCTCTCTCTCTCTCTCTCCCTCCCTCTCTCTCTCTAATTCTGCCTTTCAAGTAAATAAATAAATTTCTTTTTTTAAAGTTACATTTCTTTTGGTGCAAAAAAGATTGAAATCCATGCAGAGAAAGGATCTTTATAAAGTTCATGGAAATTTTGTATTGTGAAAAATACTGCATAAATTTCAAAAATTTTTCACCAAAATAAACTTATCTTTTAATTCCATTTTTCAATAAACTCTTTGAATTATCCTCACTTTTATTCATTTTGCCCAGAAAAATGGCATGTTCCTCCAGAACAGATGAATATAACATATTCATCTCAGTGCCTGTCACAGCTCATAATACACGGCTTTGCCCCAAATTCATGATTAACCATGTTTGTTAACCTGTATTTTGACTTTCATTGGATTCATCTAATTTAAATCATAATCATAATATTTAAATATGCACCAGAAATAAAACAAAGCATACAACTGATTAGGACAGAAGATTTTTGAAAATTGTTAGGGAAAAATATTTGAATTTGTACTCAATTTATATCTTTCAAACTTTCGAGAGCAGGCATTTGGGTTAGTGGTTAAGATGAAGGTCGGACACCCAACTCACGGCGAAGTGCCTGCGTTCCAGCCATCACTCACTCCTGGTTCCTGTTTCCTGCTAATGTGCACCCTCGGAGGAACAGTGATGACCTGAGCAGCTGGCTCCCTGCCACCCAAGGGGGAGACCTGGACTGAGTGTCCCACTCCCAGGTGACTCAGGCCAGCCCCAACCATTGCAGGCTTTTTTTTAAGATTAATTTCTTTATTTGAAAGTTACAGAGAAGCAGAGGCAGAAAGAGAGAGAGAGAGAGAGAGAGAGAGAGAGGTGTCCCATTTGCTGGTTCGCTCTCCAAATGGTGGCAATGGCCAGAGCTGGGCCAATCTGAAACCAGGAGTCAGGAGCCAGGAGCTGCTTCCAGGTCTCCCAGGGGGGTGCAGTGGCCCAAGGACTTGGGCCATCTTCTACTGCTTTCCCAGGCCATAGCAGAGAGCTGGGTTGGAAGAGGAGCAGCCGGGACTAGAACTGGCACTCATATGGGATGCCGACACTGCAGACAGCAGCTCTACGCACTGGGTCACAGTGGTGCCTCGATCCACCATTGCAGGCTTTTGTAGAGTGAACCAGAAGATGGGAGTGCGCTCTCTCACTTTTTCTCTCTTTTGTCTCTCTGTCAATAAATAAATTAACTTAAAACCTTTACAAAAGACTTTTAAGTTGGCCTTCACCACATTAAAGAGGTCTTTGCTTTCATTTGCCCCAACCACACAAATTTCCCAAGAGGGTAGACCTCTTAATTATTTAGACAATTCTCGTCTCTCCCTTACCTCTATTTTACAGGGGTGATGAGAAGTCTTATAACATGTCAGAAACATGTGGAAATAAGAACTTTAAAAAGTTGGAGAAAATGAGATGAGGAAAAAAAGAGACAAGAAGTAGTCAGAACATCCAAGAGAAATGATTCAAAAGAAAATGTCTGATCTTGCTGTCTCTAGTCATAAATATTTTGACAAGGAGCTTGGCATTTATCAAAAGGGAAATAAAGAAAAACAGAAATTGTCTTCCAAAGGACTCAACACTCTGGGAATCCAATGACCTAATTCTATACAAGGTTGCAGCCTGGAGATTGCCTTCTGATCTGACTTTCATGGCATGAGGGCTTCTGTCTTCCCGACGGCACATGCCACACCACTATCAGAGGACTGGAACAAAGAACAGAGCACGTGAGGGAAAACTCCAGAAACTATGCTTAGGAGACATTTTCCTATCCGTATAGATTCTCACTCTATCTTGCTGGTTGCTTATCTTAGCTGCTAAGTCAACTTTTCATAACTTTTGTAGACACTGTATAATGTCTTCTCCCCTTGCTCCAGCCACCAGCTGTTAGCCAGCATCACCCCAGAAAGGAATGGGGGTCGCTTGGGTTGAGCTGAATAACTGCCATGCTGATGTTGGAAGGAACCACTTCCCAGCCACTGAACAAATCCAGATGTTCCACAATAATCAGAGGGGGACCAAAGTTGTCTCAAGGAAGCAAGGAAGAACCCTGAGAGTGTTTGAAGGTTGAAACAGCTGGAGCTTGTTCCTTTACACTTAAATGCCATCATTATAAAGTGGAGATGATAATACTGTATGCCTCACAAGGCCATTTGAAGGTTAAACTTGTGTCAAAGAGGTGAGCACATGGCTAGTGGTTAAGTCACCTCTTGGGATGCCTGCAGCCCCTGTCACAATGCCTGGCTTCATCCAATTCCAGCTTCCTGTTGATGCACACCCTGGAAGGCATCAGGTGATGGCTCAATGGTTGGCTCCCTGCTACTCAAGAGAGACATGGATTGAGTTCAAAGCTCCTGGATTTGGTCTGGTCCAGCCCTGGATGTTGTGGGCATTTAATAAGTGAACCAGCAGATGGGAGATTTCTGTTTTTCTCTCCATCTCCCAACTCCACCCTCATTTTCAAATAAATAGATTTTTTTGAAATACGCTTAAATGCCTCAAATGCACAATTATGAATCCTTAAAACTAATGACATTTTGGGTGAGACAATTCTTTAATGGGGGTTGGGGGCAGAATGGGTCTTGTCCTGAACATTGCAGCATATGTAGCAGCATCCGTGGCTTCCCATTACCGTCTCCATCATTAAGATAAAAAAAATCTCCAAACCTTTCCATGTGTGCCCTGTAGGGTAAAGGCACTCCTGGTTGACAATCACTTCTCTGGGGTTTGGCATATAGTACTTGTTTCATAAAGGCTTGATGTTATTAGTAATGTCATCAAAACCATTATCAACAGCAGTATCACCTTGCTATGGTGACAGCTCCTCTTTCTTATGGAATCCCTGAAACAGCTGCCGTATTTCTGCATCCTTTCAAAGCAAGAGCAGGAAAGAAGTAAGGCCATTAAGCCGACCACAGTTAAATCATCTCCTGTGAAGGCTTATGTTCATTGGTGGAAACGACGCACTCTATTCTGCCACAGCCTCCCAGTTCAGGAGATGCTGCCGATTCCCACCCTGGCATCGCTCCTCCGGCTGTCAGAAGTCCCCTAAAGCTGACTGTGGCAGTTGCTCTTGGAGATGTCCAGAGTTGCACCACCTTCACCTGAGGAAGGAAGGAAAAAGATAATCAAGAAGGAGAATTTTTCAGCAGAAGGTATTCCCTTGCCCAAATTGTTCCTGCATATTCTTAAGATGTTTGCTGTCAGTGTTTCTGATACCATGTTGTTTTGAAGGTATGCATGTTTCCCACTGCATGTCTGGTGTTACCTGAGCAAAATAAGAGGTGAACATAGGTGAGTGGAGTGCAAGAACCTCAAACTTTGAAGACAGATAAATGCTCACAGGAAAGCAAAACAAAGCTTGTGGGGGTCAAGGAGTGGCTGTTGACCATCTAAAGTGTCTGTATCTCCTGTTTTTATCTTTAGAACAAATACAAACATTCTGTGCTAAAATACGGTTTCCTTTGCTTCAAGAGAAATGTGTGTAAGTGGACATTCCACATTGGGCCCTGCTTCTCCTGTGACTTTTGCTATTTCCCCCTTTAAAGTCTGTGCCCTGTGTTTGCAAAGATCACCCTCTTGGAATCTCATGAACTTGAACTCCAGTCCAGATGAAATTGGGTGAATTGGAGCACACCACTTAATCCTGGCTTTCACATCTGCAATGGAGGAATAAGAAACTCCCTACCCTATAACACTATTAGGAGAAATAGAGATAATAGTGTCTGTGAATCACACCCACATAACTGGGTGCTAGGCACACACCAAAGGTTCCATAATTAGTGGTTGATGTGATTAGCATAAGGAGGAGCGTGTTGAGGGTAATACATAGTTATAAGATCATAGAGAGGGCAGCTTTCAAGGTGGAGGAGTATGGAGGGAGCTTACTGCTCTAGTCTATGAGAAGATAGTTTTTAAAAAGTGGAGAGAGTGCAGTCTCAGAGAAGAGTTAAGGAGAAAACAGCAGAGGAACTCTACGCAAATTAGAGGGACACAGTGACCTACAAGGAGGGCAGGGACACCCACAACTCAGGACCCCAGCAGCACAGAGCTTCTGCACCAGCGTTGGACAGTGAGATGAGATCAGACTGCTTTAGCCCAAACCACTGATGATAAAGCTGCAGCAAGAGCCTAGAGGGAGCCTGGCTTGGAGCCCCATGCAGGATAGTGTACTTGACAAACTAGAGGGAAAAAATAGAGGGGAATATTTCCTCCCCAATCACCTTGCAATGGCATCCTGTAACAAGCCAATAGAGCAGGCGCCATTTTGGACATATGTAACTGCTGTGCCAGCTCATGTCCATGCCCAGCAACTAGCCAAGTAGACTCCTGACTCTGGTGGTAAGAACTAACAGGGGGCTGGGTGCTTGTTACTGGAAGAGGCTTGTGTGCCAGGACTGTGAAAAAACTAAGGCTGTGTGGGAGGAATCACAGTGTGGCTGGGACTTTGGGAAGTCGCTGTGAGAGACTGCACATACTCAGGGCACCCTGGTTACCTGGTGAGGGACACTGCTGGGGAATCTGAACTTACACTGAGGACTGCACCAATTCTTTGTGTGGTCCTTGTAGCAGAGCGTACAAATATTATACCCACTGGGACTAGAACTCAGGCACTTGTCTCCTTTGAGGAGAGGAGCTCAGCTGAGTAGAATAAACCTTCCCATGACCAAAAAACAAGCAGATTTACCACACCAAACCTGGGTGTGTCACCTTAGACACACCCTTCAACCTCCAGAACTGAACAAAGCTCCCTAGCCACAACCACCACACACCTCTAGATAATCACTGAAAGCAGATACTTCCCTAATCTGCAGAGGCATAGTACAAAGATAAAAGCTGCCACAGCAAAAAATAAATAAATAAATAAATAAATAAACTGATGAGTATCTCTACAAATGTCGACTAACAAATGCACTAATTCAAGAAACAAGAATGAGGAAGACAACATGATGCCCCCAAAAGAACACAACATTTAATACTAGATTGTGAAGATGATGAGGTTGAAGAAATGCCAGAAATGGAATTCAAAAAATTGATCCATAGAAGATTCCATAGAAGTAATCAGAAGCAAATGCATGAACTACTGAAATCCATACATGAAATGAAAGAAAATTTGACCCACAAAATTCAAATATTAAAGAGAAATAAAAATGAAATAAAAAATGCAGTGGAAAGTCTTAACAACATTAACAGTGAAGTAGAAGAAAGAATATCCAACATAGAAGAGAAAGCACAGGAAATTATACAGTCAGACCAAAAACAAGAAGAGGAAATTATAAAACTAAAAACACTGTTGGTAATCTACAGGCTACTATCAAATGACCCAACATACAGGTTTTAGGAGTTCCTGAAAGCATGGTAAGAGAGAAAGGATTATAAGGCCTTTTTAGTGAAATAATAACAGAAAACTTTCCTAATTTGGAGAAAGAAAGGGACATCCAAGTACAGACAGCACATAGAACCCCTATTAGACAAAACTAGAAAAGATGTTCACCATGACACATTGTAGTCAAACTCACCACAGTAAAACATAAAGAAAAGATTCTAAAACGTGCACAAGATAAACACCAGATTGCTTTCAGAGGATTTCCAAATAGACTTACAATAGAATTTTCATTAGAAACCCTACAGGCTAGGAGAGAATGGCAAGATATATTCCAAGTTGTAAGAGAAAAAAAAAAAGTCAGACCAGAATACTATACCCTACAAAGCTCTCATTTATGAGTGAAGGTGAAATAAAGACCTTCCATACCAAACATAAATGGAAAGAATTTGTCATCACCCATCCAGCCCTGCAAAAGATGCTTAAGGATGTGTTACACACAGAAACACAGAAACATGGTCATCACTGTGAAAGAAAGTAAAGCAAGAAAATCTCCCCAGTGAAAGTACAAAGGAAATCCAAAGTAAAGAATAGGAATATTTTTTGGAAAAATGACAGGGCAAAGCCATTACTCATCAATAGTCACCTTGAACGTAAATGGCCTCAACTCTCAAGTTAAAAGACACAGACTGGCTGAATGGATTAAAAAACAAAATGCACGTATTTTCTGCCTATAAGAAACACACCTCACCAACAAAGATGCAAGTAGACTGTAACTGAAAGGATGAGAAAAGATAATCCACGCTAACATAAACCATAAAAGAGCTGGTATAGCCATCCTAATATCCGACAAAATAGACCTTAACACAAAAACTGTTAAAAGAGACAAAGAAGGACACTATGCAATGTTTAAGGAAGATATCACTATTACAAACATATATGCAGCTAATTACACAGCATCTGGCTATTTAGAAGAAATGTTAAGAGATCTAAAGGAAGACATAGACTCAAATAAAATAATAATGGGGGACTTCAATATCTAACTTTCAGCAATGGACAGATCAATCAGATGGAAAATCAGCAAGGAAACAACAGAGTTAATCACCACTATAGACCAAATGGACCTAACAGATATCTACAGAACTTGTCATACTACAATTACAGAATATACATTCTTCTCTCCAGTGCATGGAAATTTCTCTAGGAGTGACCACATACTAAGCCATAAAGCAAGTCTCAGCAGATTTAAAAAAATCTAAATCATTCCATGCACTTTCTCAGACCACAATGCAATGGAGCTGGAAATCAGCAACTCAGGAATCTTTTGAACATACGCAAACACATTGAGACTGAACAACATGCTCCTGAATAAACAGTGGGTCATAGAAGAAATTAAAAGAGAAATAAAAAAATTCCTGGAAACAATTGAAGATGACAATGCAACATATCAAAACTTATGGGAGACAAAAAAGCAGTGTTAAAAGGAAAGTTTATAGCAATTGGTGCCTACATCAAGAAATTGGAAAGGTATCAAATAAATGAGCTATTGATGTATCTCAAGGATCTAGAAAAAAAAAACAGCAAACCAAACCCAAAACTAGTAGAAGAAAAGAAATCATTAAAATTAGAGAAGAAATCAACAAAATCAAAACAAAAAAATACAAAAGACCAGCAAAATGAAGAGTTGGTTTATTAAAAAAAAAAAAAAAACTAAATTGACATACCTTTGGCCCAACTAACCCAAAAAAAAGGAGAGAGAAGATCCAAGTCAACAAAATTAGAGATGAAAAAGGAAATGTAACAACAGACACTACAGAAATAAAAACAATCATCCGAATTACTACAAAGAGCTATACACCAATGAACTGGGAAACCTAGAAGAAATGCATAGATTCCTGGGCACATACAACCTACCTAAATTGAGCTATGAATACATAGAAAACCTAAACAGACCTATAACCAAGACAGAAATTGAATTAGTAATAAAGACTCTCCCAAGAAAGAAAAGCCCAGGACTTGATGGCTTCACTGCTAAATTCTACCAGACATTTAAAGAAAAACTAACTCCAACTCTTCTCAAGTTATTCAAAGCAATTGAAAGAGAGAGAATCCTCCCAAATTCTTTCAATGAAGACAGCATCACCTTAATTCCTAAAGCTGAAAAAGATACAACAGAAAAGAGAACTACAGACCAATCTCTCTGATGAACATAGGTGTAAAAATCCTCAAAAAATTCTGGCCAATAGAATTCAACAACACATCAGAAAGACCAAGTGGGATTTACTGCTGGTATGCAGGGATGGTACAACATTCACAAATCAATGTGATACATCACATTAACAAACTGAAGAAAAAAAAAACCATATGATCATCTCAATAGATGCAAAGAAATCATTTGATAAAATACAACACCATTTCATGATTAAAACTCTTAGCAAATTGGGTATAGAATGAAAAACATCAACACAATCAAGGCAATTTATGACAAACTCACAGCCAGCATCCTATTGAATGGGGGAAAGTTGGAAGCATTCCCACTGAGATCCAGAACCAGACAAGGATGCCCACTCTCATCACTGCTATTCATTATAGTCTTGGAAGTTTCAACCAGAGTCATTAGGCAAGAAAAAGAAATCAAAGGGATATACAAATTGGGAAGGAGCAATCCAAACTATCTCCTATTTGCAGATGACATGATTCTATATATAGGGGAAACAAAAGACTCCGCTAAGAGACTAATTCACTGTTGGTGGGAAAGCAAATTGATAAAGCCACTATGGAAGACAATATGGAGATACCTTAGAAATATGAATATAGATCTACCACATGACCCAGCCATTCCCCTCCATGGATTTCACCCAAAGGAAATGAAATAAGCATCTGAAAGAGTTATCTGCACCCTCATGTTTACTGCATCTCAATTCACAATAGCTAAGACATGTAATCAGCCTAAATGCCCATCAACTAAAGACTGGATAAATAAATTATGAGATATGTACACTATGGAATACTACACAGTGGTAAAATAAAATGAAATCTGATCATTTGCATCAAAATCAATGAATCTATAAAACATCATATTCAATGAAATAAGCCAGTCCCAAATGGACAAATACCATATGCTCTCCCTGATCTGTGAGAACTAATAGAGTACGTACCGAAAACAAAATCTGTAGAAGTGATATTGACACTTCGAGAAGGGATGACTTGAGAGGTCCTTGTCTTGATTGTTGAGGAACAGTTTTGGCTTTTTTTTGTTTGTTTTTTCTTCATAATACTTGTTGAACTCGTAATGTAGAATTAATCATATGTGTATTAAGCCAATTTAAGATGGATCTGAATAAAAATAAGAGTGGGATTAAGTGAAGAATGAGGGAGTTTGTAACTGTAAAGCTATATAGCTCTATATACATTCCTACAGACTTATTTCTAGGAGTACAGTTTAAAAACTTATCACGGGACCCCAAATCTCATTAAGCTGATAAAATTAAGGTGGGAAAAATGTCATCTTAAGTGTTAAAGTGACCATATTAACTGTTAAAGTGAACATATAGATAGGATTGTTAGAGTGATCACATAAATAGAATCAAGTGTCTGGTAATAATAATAGAATTAAAATGGAGAGAATGTTCCAACATGAGAGGCATCCACACAGAAGACTCAGAATGACAGTCGCTTTAAGTAGCACTCTGACTTCAGAATCAGCCCTTAAGGCATCCTGGTCTGGCTGGAAAGCCCATGAGACCATTTCAGGCATGGAAAGCCAAGACACTGAGGCAAAAATGCTCTACAAGAAGGCTCTCTGTGAGACCCCAGCGGAAAGAAGTGGCCATCAAAGAAGGATGTACTTTTCTCTGAAGGGAGGAGTGAACTTTCACTTTGTTTATAGTCTTGTCCAAATACTGACAGAATTTGTGGACTCAATTGGCTTCCATAGCCTAGGCAACTCATGTCAAGAGCCTCAGGTGGTCACTAACATCATACATAAGAGTGTTAATTGTTAAATTAATGACAGGAGTCACTGCATACTAACTTCCCATGCATGACCTCTGTCCTCAATGAGTTATATTACGAGAGTTAACTGTAAAACTTGTTCTCAAACAGTTCTCAGTTTGTGTGTGTGTGTGTGTGCAAATTGTTGAAATCTTTACTTAGTATAGAGTTGGTCTTCTTGTACAAAGCTAATTGAAAATGAATCAATGCAGAATGGGACTTGGAAGTGGAGAGGGAGGAGGAGGAGGGGTGGGAGGGTGTGGGGGAGGGTGGGTATGGTGGGAAGAATAACTATATCCCTAAAGTTGTACTTATGAAATTTTGATTCATTAAATAAAAGGTTTCATTGGGAGTAAATAAAAATAAATGTCATAGAGTTCATGAATAGGAAATAAGACAAATCTGTTAATCCACCCCCACCTCCCCACACCCCAGTTACCTGCCTCCCCTCCCCCATCCTGCCATACCTGGCCACTTGCCTTTGTACAGATCTTGCCCAACCTGGAAAGAAGCTACTAGACTCTTGTGAAATATTTCCAATGAAGACACTACTACAGCTCATTAACCCTTTTGAGTATCTCTGCTACAAGGATTTCCTATCAGTTCCCCACACCTCGATTTGTGTCTGCTCTGAGCCCCACATCCAAATACCAAACATTACCTTTTCATGCCGGCAGTACTCAGACTGGCCTGGCTGGAGTTCAAACTGTTTCTTAGGCCCCTTTTCTGAGGATTCTGAGTTGGTTGCTGTGGGGAGAGGGGCAGAGAAATTATACATTTTAAAAATATTTTTAAATAATATTTATTTATTTGAGAAGCTAAGGGACACAGAACGAGGAGCAGCTGCATATATGGAGAAAGAGTTCCCACCTGCCGGTTCACTTCTGGCATGCCCACAACAGCAGCAAGCCAGGTCCAAAGCAGAGAGCTGGGAACTCAATCCAAGTCTCTCATGTGGGTGGCAAAAGCCCAATCACTTGAGCCTCCACATTGCTTCTCAGAGCCTGCATTAGCAGGGAGCTGGCATCAGGAACCAGAGCTGGGTATTGAACCCAGGCACTCATCCCATATCAGTGGGATGCCAATGTCTTAATCTGTAGGCCTAATGTCCACCCCAGAGAAATCACGTTTTCAGCAACCACCCCGCCCCCAGTATGTATTTCTGACATTTGTGCATGTTGGGAAAGAAAGCATTGTGCTATCTACTTCTGCTACTGGCAAAACCAGAACACACCTCCAGGCCCACGAACAAAAACAGCAGGCATAGTATCTAAAAACACTGATCATGGCAAACTTAATTGTAAATTGACAAATTTAATATATTGATGGGGTACAAAATGATGTTATGGTTTATGAATACAATGTGGCACCAATCAAACCAATTATCATACTCATCACCTCAAATTCTGACATTTTTTGTAATGAGAACATTTTAAAAGTACTCTCTTTGTGATTTTGAATATACAATACATTATTATTGACTACAAAGGTAAGTATAGTCAATAATCTGTGCAGTATATCTCAAAGTAAAAAAAAAAAAAATTCTTCCTTCCTAATTGAGGTCTTATACCTTTTGACCACAATCTCCCCATTCCCCACAGCCACATTATGGAATCTACCCAAGTGTCCATCCATAGATGATAAAAAGTAAGTTTATTTTAGTGCATAAATGGGAAATCCATGCCTAATTGTTCTGCATACACATTTTCTATGAAATTTTTGAAGATCCCATGTAGGCTTGCATTTCAAAATTTGTTACATCAAAAACACCAAAAAAAGATAGGATTATTTTCTAATCCCATTTTCCATAAACTTTTTGAAATGCCCTTACATATATAATGGAGTAATACTTAGCCTTAAAAAAGCAAGCAAATGTCATTTGCAACAACATGGATGGAACTGGAGAGCGTTTTGCTAAGAGAATCTTCTTCCAGTTGCCATTCCTACCACTATTCCAACTTCCCCACTCCCCTTCTCTCCCCTGCTCTAACCCTTCTCCTTCCTCCAGGCATGCCCCTCTATGAGCTTCCCGTTCTACAAAAGCTATGCTGACGCTAAGCCACCTCTGAGGGCTTCCTTGATAAATAACACACTCCCTGACAGAGTGCTTCCTGGGCACCCACACAGCCAGTCAACTGAAGATTTCATCACAGAGAGAGGCTTCAGATAATTCAGTGTCAAGCTTTCTTCCTTCTTATTTTAAGTGTGTTTATAGATTTATGTATTTGAGAGCAGACAGACAGAGAAAGAGACAGATGGAGAGAAAACTGCAGTGGCCAAGGCTGGGTTAGAGCCAGAGTCAGGAGCCAGGGATTCAGTCCAGGTTTCCCACATGGGCATCAGGAACCCAACTTACTTAAGCTGTCACCTGCTACCTCCCAGGGTCTGCACCAGCAGGAAGCTGGAAACAGGAGCCAGAACCAAGACTTGAACCCAAGTATTGTGAGGTAGGATGCAGGCATCTTAACTGCCAGGCCCAACCCCCACCCCAATCCTACATTTCTGCAGTTTTGAAATCTAAGGATGGCTATAAAAGACCAGTGTCTGTCTGAACATGATAACATTTTGTATTTCAAGAATCAAAGACTTTTGGGCCCAGCGCTGTGGCGTAGCGGGTAAAGCCGCTGCCTACAGTGCGGCATCCCACGGTTTGAGTGGGCACTGATTCAAATCTTGGCTGCTCCACTTCCAGTCCAGCTCTGTATTATGGCTTGGGAAAGCAGTAGAAGATGGCCCAAGTCCTTAGGCCCCTGCACCTGTGTAGGAGACCCAGAAGAAGCTCCTGGCTTCTGGCTTCGGATTGGCCCAGCTCTGGCCATTGCGGCAAGTTGGAGAGTGAACCAGCAGATGGAAGACCTCTTTCTCTCTCTGCCTCTCCTTCTCTCTCTGTGTAACTCTGCCTTTCAAACAAATAAACAAATCTTTAAAAAAAAAAAAGAATCAAAGACTTTCTAGTAAATAACAGACTCACTTCATGTTTTGCAATAAAAAATATAAGCAACACCTAAGGACCTTCTTATAAGCTCTTTGAGGCCATTAAGCCTACGTTTTTCCATTTGACTTTTCCCTTAATAATGGACTCAGAACTTCAAAGAGCTTCAAAAGCTAATTATAGAAGGAATATCAGAATGAGCAAGAGAATGTATATTTCTGATTCATGTCCATACGCTTGGATGGCTTGTTCATTCTGGAAAAAGCACATATGGCTTATGTTCTAGGATCAGAGTCTTGGCTTTTATGGTCTGTTGGTTGCTTTGCAATTGTTGGCAATTTCTAGCCATGGTCATGGAGTCTTCTTGGTTTATGCTTGACGTCGCCCAGGTCCTTCGCAGCACCACGCACGGGGTTTTGCCCATAAGAGTTGCTTTGGAAACGTGGAATGAAAGTCCCTTGCTGCATGATGTACAGAGCATCTGGAGAGCTTGCAGAAAAAGCAGGCAGTGAAAGTAAGGAACTGCCACCTGGCCTGTGAAGCATGCGCACGCTTAGATGAAATGTTTGTAGAGGGAAGGAAACGTGTGTGCTGAAGAATGATGGGCAGGTTCCAGGGTTTGCTGTCTTTCCTTACTTTCCACGGTGCTGGGTTGATGTCTTCTGGAGTATGAGAGATTTTTCTAGGCATTTGTGTTTTGAAAACTCCTCCAGGCAGGGGGAAGCTCTGCCCATTATGAGGAAGCTGTGGTCTTTTGAGCTGGCAAGGGCTTAATTAAAAATCCTAAATTGCTCCAATAATGAAAGTGTCTACAGTCCAACTCTTGAGGTTTTTCTTCACTTATCGATACTCTTCGGGCTGTCAAGATGAAGACAAACCAGTACTCAATAGCACAGTGAAGGAGAATAATACCAACTGAGGACAGAGGGAAGAAAGAAGGGACCGGGACCAACGGGGACCAAGTAACCCATGAGAACTATGTTTAAGATTTTACCTAGATTTAGTCAAATGCCAGGGACCATGAACTCCTTCCCCAATGCTCTCCTCCTAGTAGACAGTTGGTAACACTTGACAGCTTGCATGCTGGGCATTACTTTAGAGGAACAAAATTTCACATGGAGCATCTCACGGACTCCAGGATTTACCGATAGTCCGAGTAACTTGCCTGTGGCCTCCTGGTGCCCAGTGCAAGTCAACTGGAGACCACATTCGATGGTCTGTGTCTTCAGGTCAGTTAAAGAGATAACTGGTTCTCTAGGCAACACCTTCCATCCAGGTACAACAAAGAGACAACAGCTTTTGGTTAAGGCATCTGTTGCTCTATGGGATTAAAGAAAAGGGGGAACTTAGTTCAGAACAGAACTAAGTTAGCAATGTGTAGAAAAGAACAATCTTCAAGTAGGTCTCTCAACTCTGGGTATGACCTATTTTTCCAGAGAGAGTGAAGTTGCAATTAGATTGCAAATAAATGCTCAAAAGAAAAATTCTCCTATTTTTGGAGACTTAATGTCAAGGAAGACCCAGGACAGAAATTATTCCAGGATGACCTTGACAGGAGGACATGGACAAGCTACCCAACCTGTCATCTGTAAGACAGGTCCCATGGCTTTTTCCATACGGTGTCCTTGGGGAAGGTTCAACCTCACAATGTATGCAAAAGTGATCAGTCAAGTGTCTGGCTTACAGTGGGCATTTAATAAATGCTTGACTTATGGGAAACACTAAAACAACAACTACACATCCCACTTCAGACCCTTGAGAGGTCACAATTTCCACGATAAATTCTAATGAAATATTAACCCAGAAAACCATGCCTGTGGGTCAACACAGCACTTGCCAGTAAAACGACTCCATGGGTTATGGAAGGTGACCAAGTAAATCTGCACCGTGCGCTTCTTCAGGGGGCTGGCAATGCTCCTGTGTGCCTTCTAGATAACAGTGACTACCCTGCTACCTACTTCTTAGTATCGAAGTCACTTCCCTCCGGTGTAATAAGCGTCCACTGTGGAATCCATGGCCAGTGGACTAAGGAACCTTAGGCGGTTGGTGTGTGCTCCCGGAGCTGCCAAGTGGAGATATTTTTTCTCAGGTTTCTGGGTGAGTTTTTAAGCCAACACCCTTGAAAGGGAAGCAGAGCCCTCATGCCACAGGCATCTGGGACACAAGGCCCACACAGTATTTTCGAAAAGGCAGTATCGCTCGCTGACGATAAAGGGGCATTCACAGTGGGCAAAGACAGTCCGCAGGAACGGGTGGAGCTGGGCTACCAGGCAGGCCGCGGGCTGGGGTGCAGCCAGTTTGCTTTTTCCACCATCCCTGGAGTTGAGCAGGTGCCAACACAGCTAAAAGCTTGGGGAGACACCCGTAGACACAGATAGCGAGCCCCTGTCTTTTCCATGGAATGGAGCAGCGGCGACCAGGGGCGTCATCACACAGCATTAATTTTTTCCCTTGCCTGGTTTCCCACATTCTGTGACCACCTTGGAGCGTGCCAGGGAAAATATTGAAAGCCTAGGTAAACGAAGGGGAACCCAACATTCACCAGTCTGGCCTTAAAATAGCCGGTGGAACGCCCCCCATCCCAGAAAGGACACGGGCCGTGACTGCCGCCAGTGTGCGCAGGGCAGCCGCCCACCCCGCAGCTCGCCCCAGCTCCGGTGAAAGCCTATCTCAGAGCGAGGACAAAGACGCAGCCAGGCCACTTTCCTGCCTCGTTCCCGTTGGGCTCCGTGACTTAGGTGAATACTAATGAACACCAAGTGACCTGACCCAAACCCGAGCAAGCACGCCAGTGGGCGGGGTGGGGACATTGGCA